CCCCAAAACCCCAAAACCCCAAAACCCCAAAACCCCAAAACCCCACCAATCAGGATGGTAGTTGAAAGAGAAATCGTTATATACAAAACATGTTCAATTAGCGAGCAGTTTACAAAGAATCGATGAGGGATTGCTTCATTGACACCTCAGGGAAATTTGTTCATCTCAGGTCTTGCTCTTGTACTCTGAGGAGTTGTCGGAATTTATTCGAATATAATTCCTTTTTCTTCAAATTTTTGCGGGAAGCCAACCCTGGCCTTATTTCATAGTAGCTCTGAGTCTATACGTACTGTTAGCATTCAAATTTAGATAAGGATTCGATTTATGCTAACATTTGCAAAATTTGGAAAGAATATCTTCATAATATAAACTCAAAACACGAAATATGTAGAATGGTGGTTACCTTCAACTTAAACTCAAGAGTCTTGGTCAGGAGGGAAAATGTATGATTTCGGGACTTGTCAGTTCTCTTCATTAGAGCTTCTAAAGTTGAAAGGATTAGATTTATAAATTTAAACAAGTAATGAAAACAAGTCTCACCAATTTTTAAATGAAAAATTTGAACAAGAAAAATGAGGGTTTTTGAATACATGCTTGATTCAAATCATTTCACAAAAATTTGCTCTCTTCAGGGTAAAATCTTCAGAAATTGATGTGTGTTCATTCTGATTGGAGAATTCCTCGAAATATTCAAAGAATCGAACAAATTGAACCCAAGTAGCAGTACAATGGTCAAAACGGAAGTTTAGAATTCTTATCATTTAAATTATGAATCGCTGTTATAAGTGGTTTTCTGAAAATTCAAATTTTAACGACATCTCCATAACTAATAAAAAAATCGAATTTTGAAATTGTTGCTCGTTTCTTGAAGTAAAAACTAGATACTTGAACTATTTTAAGCTATGACAGGTCCACAAGGTAATATAAGCTCGGGAATCTTGGCTTTTCGAAGATTCTTTGTTTTTCGAAGATCTCAAAATTGGAAATATGGAAATCATTGTATCATTCGGTTCTATCAGTACTAATACTACTTGTTCTAACTTTCTAAATATCCACAACAGCAGGTAAATTTAGTTCCCTGATCAGTTGTCTGTTCATTACAGCTGTTCTTTATTTAAGCCAAATGGAAGAGATTTTTAATGAAGCTCTGACGAGTTTTGCAAACAAATGTAAACGCTGCAGAACACATACTACATTCTCTATATTCATGCTAGTATAGTCATAAATTTTATTTCAGTCTTATTATTTTTTTTTATTTTCAAAAGAGAGAAAATAGTATTTTAACAGAATTTTATGCTTAATTCGGTCTAATGAAGAAGCAACCAAATGTGCAACTATTGCGCAACTCATATCTGAACTCTTTTTGAGCAAGATGGTGCTCTAAATCATAAGTATGATTGCTTTCTTCTAGAAGTTTGCCTTAGAACCTCAGGATGCATTACGAAACATCGGTTCTCGCCAAAATGGTTTTAGATCTTTAGACTTACTTAGTATTTAATTATTATTATTCAACACGATTGCTTTCTTAAGGGGTTTTGGGGTTTTGGGGTTTTGGGGTTTTGGGG